CAAACCCTATTATGTTCCATAGTAAATAACATCGATTGGGTGAGATCTGCCATCTGTATGTGAATGTATGTATGTGTATGTATGTGTGTGTATGTGTGTGTATGTGTGCATTTACGGTCGATTGATGACTAATGCGACTTGTTGTTGTTAGGATCTAAAATTCGTGCCATTTGTTAACTAATGTTATCAGTCTGTTAAAAATTTTCAATTTATAAATTTTAATTTTAAAAATTTTCCAATAAATCAATAGATTGGATAAATTGAGAATTTCGTGCTTTTTTCTATCGATTAGAACAAATAATAGGATGAAATATTTGTAATGGATGTATTTTGTAATTTATTATTTTCTAATTCATAATAATAGTCATTTTATTTATTAAATTCTTTTTCAAAATTAATAAAATTTTTGTTTTCAAAATTTGTTTTGTAAAAAAAACGATAAAATTGTCATTTTATTTTGTTTTCTTCTTTTACCTAAAATTTTTGCTATTATTTTTTTTCCTTCTTTTACCTAAAATTTTTGCTATTATTTTTTTCCTTCTTTTACCTAAAATTTTTGCTAATATTTTTTTCCTTCTTTTACCTAAAATTTTTGCTAATATTTTTTTCCTTCTTTTACCTAAAATTTTTGCTATTATTTTTTTTCCTTCTTTTACCTAAAATTTTTGCTATTATTTTTTTCCCTCTTTTACCTAAAATTTTTGCTATTATTTTTTTCCTTCTTTTACCTAAAATTTTTGCTATTATTTTGTTTTCTTCTTTTACCTAAAATTTTTGCTATTATTTTTTTCCTTCTTTTACCTAAAATTTTTTTTCCTTCTTTTACCTAAAATTTTTGCTATTATTTTGTTTTCTTCTTTTACCTAAAATTTTTGCTAATATTTTTTTTCCCTCTTTTACCTAAAATTTTCCCCAATAACAATCGAACTTATATGAACGGATAGGATATTTGCTATTATCGATCGGATAATAATCGAACTTATATAATTGGTTAGGAAATTCTTCTCTAATATGCAAATTTTCGTAATTTTTAATTGTGTAATTTTTTTTTTTTTGCAAATTTATATCTCTCCATAATATTGTCGTTTTCTTTTTGTAGTCTTTTTGTAAATTTTTAGAATCGAAAAATTTTCAATTATTTCGGAAATTTTTAATACAAATTATATTATGGTAAGTGTATAAGTAATAGAAAGTTATTTACTGCTGTTATATTTCAAAATGAGTTTTCAAGTTTTATTATTAAAAAAAATTTTAGTTACCAAAAAGATGGAAATAAAATCGCTAGCTTGAATATTTGAAATAAGGTAAAACAGAATATTCTATTTCGTTCAAAATATTTTAGAAATTTATTTAATGGTTAAAAAATCATTCAAAAATAACAGTGTAATTCTAGTTTTTGAAATATTTAATTTATACTTTTAGCTGTTATATAAATTTTTTGTTAGCATAATTATTATCATATATTAGCATAATTATCATTTAAATTAATATAAAATTTGATTAAATATATAATTACAATTTCCTCTAATTATTGTAAACTTGAAGAAGTATTTGAGAAAGAAATAATTTTTTTTAATTAAAATTTCTAATGAAATATGAATAAATAACATTTTTTTTTGTTTACTATTTTTACAGCTGTAAATATTATTAAATTTTATAAATTTATTTTCTTTTTCATTCAATCAATTCCTTAATGAGGTAAATAATGTATGTGCCTGTCAACAATTAAATATACATTATGGTGCCTAAAGATCGATTCACTATTATTTACTTCTTCTCATCTATCTCTTCTGCCCAACTAACTAACACACACACACACATACACACACACACACACACACACATACACACACACATACGTATACATTTAACATTGGTTTCTCGTATCACTCCGTTTTAATATTTTATTGAATTTTTATTTTATGCTATTAAATTTTATTCTTAATTAATATAATTTTTTTTTATTTTGAAAAATATAATTAATTATAATTTATGCTATTGTTTTAGTATGGAAAAATTAAAATATAAATAGATTGAAATTATCTTTAAAGTCTAATATTATAGGTTGTAGTGAAATTTTAGTTTTTATTTTTGTGATATAATTAGTTTAAAATTTATTATATAATAAGATAGACTGGCAAAATATTTAAAAGATAAAAAATTTTTGATTATTATTATGTAACTTTTAAATTATCATATATATATATGTATATGTTATCAATTTAAAAAAGTTATATGCGCAAATATTAAAAGATTTATTTTGCTCTAACTAATATAATTATAACTATAACTGATTAAAAGGTTCATTTTTACTTTAACTGATAAAATTACAACTATAACTGATTAAAAGGTTCATTTTGCTTTAATTGATAAAATTATAACTATGAGTGATATATTTTGTTTTAAGAGATAATAAAGAAAAATTTCTCCTTATATTTAGCATTATTTTAAAGCTTTAAAATATTACGTAATATTTTGAGTGTTGTTAGTTTTTGCATTCTTAATAATGAAATTTTTTTATCAATTTTATCAATCAAATCTATTATTGGTGAATGAGATAAGAGTGATGTCATTGAATAGAATTGCTTATAATTGATTTCTTTTAACAATAATTATTATATCATTCAATCATTTTTTTTTAACGAATTGATGACACCTTTAAAAATGAATGATCAATTTTTATAGCCTTATTATTGTTGCCAGTTTTCACAACCAAAAATGTTCATTCTTTCTTTTTTTAGCAACTCATTCCTCTTTCTACCAACTTTTGAATTAACATTGATTATTCTTCAATGTCAAAATAACATCCATTTTATTATAAATGGTTCAAAACAAAATTTTTATTTTATAGTATGATTCATGATTTTATACTATCCGTAATGATATTTATATCTGATATGAAAAGTTTGAAATGTTTGGAAAAATCGTAGACAGGATGGATATGTTTCTGAAATCAATACTTATATTTTACATCATCTCACGTTTAATCTTAAAAGCAATACATTTACAGGTATGATACTCTTCCATTATCTCACATAACTAATAAATAGCAATGAGAATTGTTTTTCTTCGAAGTATTTTTATTCTTCGTTAATCTATAATTTATAAGGTTATGATATGAGTTTAAAAAAAAAAGCGATAATTAAATGATTTGTAAATTTAAGTTGTAGCAATTTTACGATGATTGAGAATTAGCCCGACATAATGGATATTATGGGAAGCTGAAAGGTAAACATTTACCTAACAACTTATCATTATCGCAAATATGATTTGAAGGTAATATTGGATAAATAAAGGAAGATGAGAAAAAAGTATACTATGTAAATACGACACTAAGGAAATAGGTCTGGAGAAATGGGGAATAATGATTTAAGGAAGTTCAATGAATTGCTCTTCGGCTAATACTTCTATTCATTTCAAGCGAAACAGGATGCGAATGCAGAAAAGAAGAATTAATGATGATGTTTATACCAGCTCGATTATATCACAACAAATACTACTGATGATGAGACAAATAATTTTGCTTGTTAAAGATTATATTAGAAGAAAATGGTTCGAGGATTTATTTAAATCATATCAATTCCGAATTACACAATCCGGTTAGGTTAGCATAAGTAATGCAGATTCATAGTTGTTGAGCAATTTTGCAATACATGTAATTAGAATAGCTCGAATAGGGGAAAAAATAAACTGGAGAAATGAGAATTCTCAAAAGAAAAATTGAAAGTGGTAGTAAGCGGAATCTTTAATCATATTAGCTATATTAAAGGATGAATGAATCAAATGACAGAGATGCATGACATGCATGATAAGGTCATCATTAATAGGTACCAATCGAAAATTGACCAACTACATCTCAATCTTTCTCACATAGGTCAATATTTGATCTGTAGGACGTTGTTCGTTTCGCAACGATCCTAACATCAATGTTTGATGGTTTGCTGCAGGTCACCGCTGAGTGATCACTTTAGGTGAATGTAACACGGTGAAATTCAGCAAATGGTACGTCATTTATCTGGTGTTTAGTTTATTTTGCTCATTGCTTTGGGCGTTTCAATCGGCTAAAGGTTGTCGTATTTATTATTAATTATTATTATTTTATTTACTATTGTTATTATTATCATTATCATTATCATTATTAATCATTATTATTTACGATAATAATAATATTACAAACTAATAGTAGTAATTGTTATTATTATTACTATTACTATTTTCATCATTATCATAATATCATTATTTTTCGTTATTTCATTAATATATTGTTATTTCTCATTATTATTATTATTATTTATTCTTATTATCCATTATTATCGTTATTGCTCTTACTATTGTTATAATAATAATTTAATAATTATTCGTTTGAGTGAAGTTGTTAAATTATATAGAATATAATTTAGTTATCCGTGAAATGAGCAGAAATAGTTTTATGGAACGTGTTCCATTTGTTATGTTTTTACGTGGACTTCTACGACGGAGCATATGCTTGTAAACTTTCCCATATTTCATGAGTCCAAGGCGAAGAACTTCACAGACTCCAATTTGTTATGAGTACCAAACTTGAAAGGTTTGTATATTCAACTCCTTTCTTACAGTAATATACCTAATTAGAGATGAAACAGCATTTGTCTTTGGAGGATTTCAGATAATGATACACATATAGAATGTGCATAAATAATTGATTGCTTTAAAGGAAGGCCCTCTGGAAGTTACAATTTCTTAAAGTAACCTAACACATCTGTGGCTTTCAGGAATGGGAAGAAAATACTCATGTATTTAATGATTAGCACCTTGACCATCTTGAATGGTTAGTTTTTGCCTGTGGATGGAGAATTAGTTCTTGTACAGGAACAGTTAAATTGATTTTAAGCATTTGTGTTACCAAGTATCTATATAAGATTACATACGATAAAGGAATTATTTACTAGTAGCGATATTCATCTTTTATCTGTCACTAATTGAGAGTGACCTTGAGGCAACAAAGACTGGTTCACGTTAATATGTCTCGTGATAGTGAGCATCAATCTTTTCATGATTCCCCGTTTACGGCCCTTTCTCCGGTGTTTATGGATGCTTTCTCTGAAGCTATTGGTTCGAATTGCACTGTTCCAAGTCTCATGCTATTGTTACTATCACACTCTATCATTCCCTAACCTTTTTCATCATCTATTTGAAACTCATAAGGTCACAGCTCACAAATTATCTATTTCCTTAATTTAGTTTTCTCATCGCCCAATATAACCCTCACGTTTATGGCAATTTTGTCCTTTTTGATAGTACAGGTAGGCATTCTTGTTCATTCTACAAAAAGCTTATCGCTTTCATACATTCCGATATTCTTTTCATCCCCATTTGTCCAAGAACTTATCAACAAAATTTTCATTTTATTTATCTTTTCTACCTTTACTTTCCCTTCTTAAATTCGTAAGATATTATCACCGTAGACTGTTCTTTTACTAGGTTTCACATCTGTCAAACCTCTAAGCTGAACAAGTATTAATTAGGTGCGGGTTTAGGAAGGCAAGATATCTTATACTTTCGGATTGCGCATATAAGTGATGTAAAGTCCAACAAAAACTTTAAGCTTCATTAGATGTATTGATGAAAAACTGCAGATAACTTGTTTGGTGAATTAGTGGCATGCTTATAGAGAGTAAGATGTGACTGGAACAGATGTGAAATCAAATAATTTGACATGTATGTGTTATTTTTAAAATTTTCGGTAATATTAGTTGAATCCAAAAATTCATGTGATTATATTTTTCTTTCTTTGATGTTTTCGCGTTACATATATTTATCCGGTTAATACATGCGATTACTACGATGAAATGCGCAAATGAACCTTTTTTCAATTTGAGAGAGAAAATAACGAGGACAGAACGGTGGATTACTGGAGTGCAGGCACGGTGGCGGGAAGTAAGGAGCACTTGGGTACCGTCAAAAAGGCGAGCCCATCAAGAAAAGAGGGCTGCTGCAATAATACGCAGTTAGCAGCAGCAGTTGCAATTGTGGTATCACCATTATCGTCATCTATCATAACCGCAAGAAATGTCGTCGTTGAGCAGCGGCCACAGCAGTACATCAAGCATGAGCAGTACCAGTACCGACCTCAGTTCTTGCAACTTTGTATGTTTCTTTTCCTTCAGTTAAAATCATTAGAGAAAAATTGTTCTTAGTTTTGTTCAGACATGCAACTTCCTGGTGACGCCCATAACAGTTGGTGAAGTTAGTAAATTGAAGTTAAACATACTGTGACAAAAATTTTACTAATTTTGCTTCCATATTTTTCGTTCAAGCATGTGCAAACATTAATTGTTATAAAATTATTCTGTTTTAGTGGCCTTCTTGCGCAGTTATCATGTGGTGCTGAATGTTGTGTATATGCATTTAAGGATTACTGTTTTTGCATATTGTGTTTTTAAGAGAATAAGAGATCAGTACAAAATGCTGTTGCAAGATGCAAGATGCCTATAAGTTATGGACTAAAGCACACCTGAAAAATATACAATATCTATACATGCTCAAATGCATGTTCTATGGTTTCATGAGAATTAATTTTAAATAATAATACTGATTAGATATCATTCACTGCAGTCCTTTTTTCTGGATTATATTTTACTTACTTTGTGAATCAATTTTATTTATTACATATTTGCTTTATTACTTGTAACGCACGTGAGATTTTGCTGAGGCGTTTTATTTGCCACAGTTTCTCGTGGTGAAATCACTATTGACAGAGTCATCGTGCTGTTGACTACTTGGCTTGCTTTATAAATGGTACAGACTCTCATTTACAAATTATTTATATGCTGTTATATTTGACGCAACATTTCTTTCATCGAAGTGGGTTACGGATATTAATCATTCTAAAAATTGTTTTGAACAAATGACGTAACGTGTGTAAGAACATACCTTCGATATTCGGTATAGTGCCGGTCGCTAAGTGCATTTGACATAGATAGGTGTTCATTAGCGTGTGGCGTTTGCAACACAATAAACTTCAGTATTAGGTGCACACAGCTCATCTTTACCCATTACCTTGTTATTCATTTTTACGAGAACCGTTGCTTATGCTGAAAACTCAAAATCCATGCGTTGTATTAAAAAAATTTAATGATCTAAGCTTGCATGATGTTTGCTAGATTTTTCATAAAGCATCGTTCCCGACATCATCAGCTATACAAAGCTTTTTGCCATCCCAACTTTTGCTTTTGGATGGAGAAATAAATATTTTCAAGAGAATCTTTGTATTATTTATATTGCATTAAAAAACAAAAAATTTTCTGCGTTGTATATAGTTATGTCCTACTTTTTACAGCATGTTCCACTATTTGCAAAGATCGGTTTTTCTTTTTAATTACGTCAGGTTCTTACTTGCAAGTAACTAATCGTTAAACAGATCTGGTGATTTGGTCTTCATTTATGATCCATTTTTTTAGCTACCGGAAAACTATAAATATGGTGTGTTGCAAATATGGTATGCGAATTAATTACACGATATTATTTGCATAAGTTAAATTATTGCTACTAGTGTTGGTGATTTTGTGGCTTTCGCTGCTCTCTAACTCTTTCCACTGAAGAGATCTACATCCTTTCAATGAAGTAAAAGTAATTACACAGGTGTTTAATTTTACTTCACTGAAAAATTTCTTCCAAATTTAGAAAAATTGTTTTTTAAAGAATAATTGGGAAAAACTAATCATACTAACAATAATCTACTCAATCAACATCAAATTTTTCACATTTGATACCTTATGTTTTTCCCTGCTTTTTTTTTCGGTAACCGGGATATAGTTTCTATGAAGTGTAATGATTTGAAAAAGGAAAAGTAGTCTATCACCATCACCAAACAAATTTGATATTTTTGTATTTCTGGCCCTAATGCGTAACTCACAAAGGCAGTAAAAGCAAATTTGAAAAAGCGTCACCGAGAGCACTACCACATAACGCGCCGATTGCACCAGCATCCAGTGTTACGCTCCAATGTTACTGTCACTACTACTACTACCTATCAGTTAGAAAAGAAGGTAAAACATAACTTTTTTATGCTGATGATGGTTCACTTTTGCCATGTTTTGTGATATTATCTTCACTTTCTAAAAATAGTATTCNTACGCTCCAATGTTACTGTCACTACTACTACTACCTATCAGTTAGAAAAGAAGGTAAAACATAACTTTTTTATGCTGATGATGGTTCACTTTTGCCATGTTTTGTGATATTATCTTCACTTTCTAAAGATAGTATTCGAAAAATTAAAAATATATTTGTCATTTCCCGTATTTTCACCGTGTATGTGTTGAACGCCCAAATTTCTTCCCATTGTTTTGGTGAGTGTTTTCAACTTGATAAGTTGAAATTGTGGTCATAATGAAAAATCTGAAATACAGTAACGGAATGGCCCTATTATCACTGTTGATATGCAGAAGGTTTATTTAAGCTATATTGCTTTTACATATGGAAAAACTGTAGGTATGATATCCGAAGATTCTCGGAATATCTGCATCAACTATCTCTACACCATTCGTTTTTTAGACAAACTGTAAAAATTACACATGTCATTAACCACGCATGATGAGAATAGTAAATGTTGGTGAGAACTAAAGCACTTAGTTCCTTCGAAAGT